CGCATCGGTTGCACCACATATTTTGCACCACGCAGATAGCACAACATTGATTGCACCACTTCCATGCGCCACGTAAATTGCACAACGTCGGTCCTCCTTCCGTAAGAAGTAGTAGGATATACCCCCCCAGGGTTAACAGGCCACCTCTTCGTATTGCAATGTGCAGACGATTTTGCCCCATCGTCCAGCCTGAATATGAATTCAGCCCATCGCAGGCAGGCCTGCATCGGTCCCCCACCTTCATTCTCTGCAACAGATACTGTGCGTGCGCATTCGTCTGTCGACAACCATAAGTTTAAATAAGGCCTTTGCAAACAAAGGGACGAAGTGCGCACGCGCGCGTCGTCACGTAAGGATTTCAAAGCCGAGGGTCCCGAACACATAAAAGAAAACGCATCGTTTCGCCATATTTTGCACACCGTCTATGGGCAGACGCAGACAAGCACTTGGTGTGGTGTCCACGGTGGATACACACACATATATGTATATGTATATACATACACATGTATGAATTTATACGTTATATATATATATATATATATATATATATATATATGTGTACGCACAGCTGTATACATGTGTACGTATAGATACATATATGTATGTATGTATATATATATATATGGATATGTGTATATATATGTGTCTATATATATAGGTATGACAGAGCGCGTTCTGTGGTCGGTTGGGGGGGGGGGTTGAAACCGGACCCCCCCCATTTGGATGGGGGGGTGTTCGAACACCCCCCCCTTTCCCTCCTCTGCGTCCCCTGTCCTCGGGCCGGCGCTTGTGTCGGCGGCGGCTGGCGACGGCGGCGGGGACGACTATTTCCATGTCTGGGCCGGCGCCAGCGCCTGCGGCGGCGGGCGGCGGTGGCGGGGAGCGTCGACGAGGACGACGGTGGTTTGTGGTGGTGGTGGTGATGATGGTGGTGTGGTGGTTTGTGGTGGTGGTGGTGGGTCGTGCTGCTGGTAGTGGTGACGGTTGTGGCGGTGGTGGTGGTGTGGTAGATTGTGGCGGTGGTGGTGGTAGTGGTGGTGGGTTTTTGTGGTGGTGGTGGTGGTGATGGTGAGTTGTGGTTGTGGTGGTGGTTGTGGTGGTGGTGGTGGTGGCTGTGGTGGTGGTGGTGGTGGTTGTGTGGTGCTGTTGGTCGTGGAGGTGGTGGTGGGTTGAGGCGGTGGTGGTGGTACTGGTGGTGGTGGTAGTGGTGGTAAGTGTCGCTGCGTCCCCGGGGGGGGTTGAACCCCCCCCCCGGGCGCCAAGGGGAAGGGGGTTTGAACCCCTCCCCCCTGGGCTGCCTCTGGTCATCGTCGCTGCGTCCCCGCCGTGGGCGCTGGTGGCGGCCGCCAGCGCCGGCGCCGGCGCCGAGGGGGGGCGGGGTTGAAACCCACCCGTCCCTTTGAGAGGGGGGGGGTCGGGAGCGGGGGGTTGGAAGGGAATGGAAGCCCCCTTGGTTTTGATCGACCCGCCGAATGTTCCCCAGCCAAGCGCCCGTGAAACGCGTTCTCTCATATGTGTATATATATATATATCCACATATATTCGTGTGTTCACACCCACACATATATATATGTATATGTATGTATGTATGTATGTATGTATATATATATATATGGTACTTCCCCGCAGGGATCTACCGTTCTATACGTCGGCGTCCAAGCGAAACGACGATGTGATGTTGTGTTCCTGTCAGTGTGCTGGCTGTCTGCTAGAATATGCAATGCAAGCATTCCCTTTGAACTGCGAACCTCCAGGCGCAGTACACGCGGTGGAGAGTATCCAGTGCAAACCCCCGGCGCCGTGCAAACGTAGTTCTCAAGTCTACGCCCAAATTTTGCCGCGGCCGATCACGCAGTCAGCAGGTCGCGCATGATGTGCTGCACCATCTCCCCCGACTTGACCCACATGACGTCGTCCTTGTGCCAGTGGTCGTTCTGGGCCGAGCGGACCCTGGTGGCAAACAGCTTGGTTCCTGCCTTGGCGTTGGCGCTCTTGTGGATGCGGTCTTTGATGAAACGCCACGCACGGTTGGGGCACGTTCAGTTCCTTGGTGATCCACCGAAGGCGACCTTACTTTGGATTCGACGGGCATGTTCTTCGATGTAATCGAACCCCTGGTCGACTTTCGACTCATCCATGAGTTCTTTTTGCTTGTTGAGGTCGCGGTGGTCGAACGTGCAATACCTGATCTTCAAGCCAGGGAAGTGCATGCGCAGGTGCTTCAGCGCCTTCGCCCTTGTTTTCTCATGGATGCCCCGCGCGATCGTATGCGCCTGACCAACGCACATGCTCGGGAGGCTGTGGATGTTGATCTTGTTCTTCACGACGTAGTGTTTGCTGGTGTGCTTCCCGCCGTCGCCCTTCGGCACCACGAACAGCTGTATGGTGTAATCGTCCGGGGGTTCCTCCGTCAAGCGGAAAGGCAAGGGCAGGTCCTTGGCGACGGAAGTGCTTCAAAATAGCGTCTCTGTCGATGTCTGCGCGGTGATCGGACGCGATGTCCACGAAGTGCACGACCTTTTTCATTGGACCGCGCGCCTCGGCGTCAACACGTGTAAACGCGAGACCGTCGGCAGGGTTCGCGGTGCCTGCTTCGTCCTCTGAGAGGATGGTGAGGTTCTTCGCGACCGTTGCCGCCGCGATCATCGCAGCGACGCGCGGCGCCGCAGAGGGGGGGGCGGCCGCGCGCCGGGGCAAAGCGAGCCAGGCGGCGCCAGGGCGGCTCGTCCCTTGAGCCACAATTCGAGGAAACCGCATCAGATGAGAACGTTGCGTTGTTACCACACGTATGTTTGATACATATTGTCGTGGGGCATCCCCTGGGCCTTTGGCTGCTAAGATGAGCCCAAACATCGGTTGAACCCAGGCAGCTACGATTACGAGGATGTCGAGATGGGCATCGGCAGCGCAGTTGGTTCGTTTCATCCTCCGTCGTTTGGCGCTTTGTCCCGCTGCGCCTGCCCTGCCCTCTCCCCCTCGTTCTCTCGCTTTCGCTCGTTGTGTTTTTCTTTGCGGTTCCTCCTCCGTCGTTTGGCGCTCTGTCCCGCTGCGCCTGCCCTGCTCTATCCCCCTCGTTGTCTCGGTCTCGCTCGCTGCGTTTTGTTGTGGCTCCAGCGGCCCGAGTGGAGTTGCTCGGCAAGGCTGCGCGCGGCGAGCATCAGCTCCAGTCGTTCGCGTGGCCGCGGGGCGGGCCGCGTTGCGCCAAGAGCCTCACTTTCTTGGCCGCCCAAGGGGGCAAGTGGTGCTTCATGTGCACTTGGAAGGTCCGCCACCAGCTCTCGCAGGGAGCGGTGGCCGTCTCGAGCGCCTCCTCAGCGTCTTCAGTCTTCTTCTCAGCCTTCTTGGTCTTCTTCTTCTTCTTCGTGGCCTTCTGCAGTTCCTTCACCGCCTTCTCCAAGGAGTCCCGCGTCTCGGGCAGCTCCGCCCGCGCGTTCTTGAGAGCGGCCGTTTTCTCCGTGAGTTGTTCCTTGGGGCGGTTAGCGACCGCCTCTGCCGCGGCGGCCTTGTGGTTCGCGGCGTGTTTCTCCTTGTGGTTCGAACGGCGGAAACGCGCGTCCAGCGCGCTCCCAGGGGACATGCGAGCTGTTGCGCGCGCCTCTCTTAGCAGTTTGGCCGCTGCTGGTTTGTTGCTCAAGTCCTGCTCTCTCTTCGCGGCCCTGCGCACCTTGTTGTTGAGCAGTTTCTTCTCGTGAGCCGGGGTCCCTCTCTTTGGGTTTCCCGTGGCGGCGCGAAGGACGGGGCGCGGAACCTGTTAAACCTTGAGGAGTCACTTAAACCTGGAGCCGAAACAGATACGGAGGAGAGGAGGAGAGAGAGGAATACGCAGGATAGGCGGGATCACTTAGGACCGGGCCCCGTTCGTTTGCGAATTCTTTTCTGTACCCGTGGTGCTCTCGAGGGCATCCAAAAATGGATGGTTCCATCACGTGCCGTTCTTCCTCCTCTTCTTCGCTCTTCCTCGTTTTCCTCGCTCATGCTCGGAAGAAGCATTGCGAGAAGGCAGGCCAGGGCAAACTGTCTGAGGCCAACTTTGAAACCCACTGCACAACGTGGAGAACGAAGAGAACGTGGAGGAATGGGGAGGAGAGGGGGAGGATGAGGAATACAAATAACATATGATCGCTCCCCGCCCCAATCGCTGGAGGACGAAGATAGAAAAGGGTGGTGAGGAGGATGCCTCGCGGAGGTCCCCCCGCACGCACTGAAACCGAGGCTCCCGCCTGAGAGGTCCCCAAAAACACACCCAAAAGGAAGCCCACGCCTGAGAGGTAAAACGACACTTAAAACGAGGCCCCCGCCTGAGAGGTCAACAAAAAAACCAAGGACATCCAAGAGCCACCCGTCTCATCCTTGTAACTGTCTTACAACAAACAGAAAAATACACCCAACGTTTCAGAAGAGAACTTCTCCACCCCCCATTCCTCCTCTTCTTACCCGCCCCCCATCGGAGGGGAGAAGGCGTTCTCCTCTGAAACTTTGGGTTGTTTGGGTTTTTTGAGACAGTTACAAGGATGAGAGGGGGGGCTCTTGGATTTCTTTGATTTTTTGTGTGGGGCTCGCAGGCGGGAGCCTCGTTTTGAGTCTTTTGTTTTCTCTGGGACCTCTCAGGCGGGGGGGTCCTTTTGGGTGTGTGTTTTTGGGACCTCTCAAGCGGGGGCCTCGTTTTGAACGCCTGGTACGGCTTTGTTTGATTCTGTCCCGTAAGGGGATTAGGATTGGGAGGAGGAGGAGGAGGAGGAGGAGGAGGAGGAGGAGGAGGTGGAGGAGGAGGAGGAGGCGGCGGAGGAGGAGGAGGAGGAGGAAGAACAGAGAGAGAGAGAGAGAAAGACGAGACAGAAAGAGAGGAATCATGGAGAAGCCTTCGAAGGCCGAAGGCGCTCCATAAGGAGAGGTGGAATTAGGTAGACCCCTGCGGAGGGGGTACCATATATATATATATATATATATATATATACACACGAATCCTCCCTCACATCCTTCGTCTCGCTCCCCTCTCACAGGTGAAGGCGGTGGCCGTGCAGGAGGCGGCCGCTGCACCGCGACCTATTGCCCCAGCTGGCAGTGCCGTCTCCCGCCTCTCTTCCGTTCTGGCCGCAGGAGGCACGCCTTGATATGCCCGCGTCGTGCAAGAACCACAGCGGCAGACTTGTGGCCCTCTTTGGCCCCCTGGGGCCCTCGCCGGGCGCCAGGACCGTGCACAAAAGTTATGCGTGATGCAAAGCCGGCCCTGGTGAAAGGGTGGGGATTTTCGGGGAACACCGTATTGGAAAACCGGCACAGCGCACGTCTCCCTGCTCTGGCCGCAGGAGGCACAGGTACTCCGCCACCCCTGGGCAAGCGCAGACGGGTGGCGGGCGCCGCTGCGCGCCAGATCATCGGCGATACGGCTCGATATGGAGCCACACTTTCTCCACGCCGGCGTCGCCGTTGCACCGCCGACGTCGCCGATGCATCGGGGATGCGGCGCGATCCTCCGACCCCATCTACTCGGACCCTTTCTGGGAGGCCTTTACGTACGAACATGAAGCCAGATCCGAATCCAGACGAGGAGCGAAGCCGATGCACGAACTCGAGCTCCGTTGCTGCTGGCCCAATGGCCAAGCAGAGGACAAATTAGAAGAATGGCTTCGCTTCCGCTCTGGAGGGGGACGTTGTGAGCCGCTGGGCGCGCCGAGGGGCCCCGCTGGACCCCCTTTGGCGTCTCCCGATGCGTACGCGCTGGCGTCCCTCGGGGCTCTCGTCTCTTCTTGCTTCCCTCCCCCCCGCCTCCCCCCCCATGGGAGCAGCTGCGGTGCCGATGCAGTCGAGTTTGATTGGAGAGGACGCTGGACAGGACACAACGACTCTTCCGAGGGCCACATGGCACCAAAAGTGGGGTCGTGAACCACAGGTAGGCGGCGCGCGCAAGTGGGTAGGTTGAGGGGGGAAGGCTTCTTAAAATGAGACTGCTTCTTAGAAGGCGCTGGCCTTTCATCTATAGATAGGGCCCGCGCCTTCTAAGAAGCAGGGTGCTTCTAAGAAACCGTGGCTCCTTCCCCTACCCTACGCCCCTCTGCGCGTGGCCGAACAGTGCCCAAGGAAACCGTAGCCATTTTGGCTCAAGCCTGCTCGACTCAAAGTGTTCTGGCGCGACAGAGGTTGTGCGAAGCCATTGGTGAGGGCGACGGCGACGCGCTCGACAACGACGCGATCATGGTCTGCGACGAGTGCTGCTGCTGCTGCTGCTACGACGGCCTGCTCTTGAGAGATGGGTGCACGGGGTGCATGGCGAGCGAGGTCATGTGCTGCCTGGAGGTCTAGTACTGCTGCAAGTCAGGCGCACCGACGCGCTGCTGCGTCTGCTGCGCGACCCGCTGCGTCTCGCCTACCGTGCGCATCAAGTCGCAGGGCCAGATGTGCTGCCTTGCCGGGGCGGCCGCCATCCCGTGAGACGATGGAGTTTTTTGCCTGGTCGGCACGTGCGGCATGATCTGATACCCAACGATCGCTCGCCATATGCAAGACGCTGGGCGACATCAAGGGTGGGGGTGGCGGGGGAAGACCCGACATTGAGCAGGTGGGCTGAGGCTAGTGAGATGGATCCAAGCAGCCGCCCTGTCTGCTGATGACCCCAGCATGGCCACTGCGGTACAGCCAAGGCCACGAATGGCTCTGGTGCTTTGATGCACAAAGGCCGGCCAGGCTGCAGTCGCGATTCGGATTTTTTTGTTTTTTTTTGTTTTGTTTTGTTGAGGTGCACACCACGCTCGGAGCTGCGCAGCAAGCTTGATTTAGCAGGACCGGCCTACGCATAAAACTCGACCGTCGGACCCCCATGCCGGCGTGTGCCCGCCCAGAGAGTTCGAGGAGCTCTGGCCAGGGGCGCCACGGTGGAGAGTTGGTGGGCGCCTGGCATGCGGCCTACCCCGGGCTCGGGGGGGGGCCATCGTGGAGCGCGAAGTTCCCAAGATGGCTTCAAGAACCCCCGAGAGCTCCAATACGCCCACGAGAAGCCTCAGGAGGCCCTGAAGAAGGCGCCTCGGAGGTTGCCAAGAGGCTCCCAGGCTTCAGATCTGCAACAAGAGGTCCATCCCGAATTGTCAGCCACATCCAGTCCACAATTGATGGGGCTCGCGTTCCGCAGCCATTTTGGCTCAAGCTGCTCTCAAGGACGCACTGTATGATGTTTGCGTCGGACCATTTTCGAGGCCAGCAGTCGCAGCCCGATCCTAGGCGTCTGACTGCATCTCCCTTCGGTGAGCTCCTGCCGGAGCCTCATTTCCACCTGCGTTACCCATGCGAAAGGTCAGTTCTTCAGTCGCTGCGAACAGTCAACCTCGCCGTTCTGAACGTCGGACACCTGCTCGCTCCAGCCGAAGCCCTGGCAGGATGGAGTCGCGAGATGGCCCTTCAATCGCTCGGTGGTTGGAGGGCATCACCGGTTCGCTCGCCCCCATGCACCAGGCGATGATGCAGAGCACCCAGGATATGCTCGACCTTTGCCCATCGGCGCAAGGCAGTCTGAAACGCCGTTCCCAACTCTCCGATCAATTTGTTCTCTTCTGACAAAACGTTCGACGCAGGCATGGCGAACTGCAGAACCAGCTCACGTTTGCCCTCGCGGCCTAGGACGATTGGATCGAGCAGATGCACATCTCGATGGCTGACCCCCCGGAGCGTGGCCACGGACCGCCCGATTCTCGAGGCGAAATGCAGGGAGGTGGAGCCCCACATTGACGAGCTGCAGAAGGCGCATCGTATCCAGGAGGCCAAGTCCCGTGAGCACCGCGCCCACCCGACGCCCGTTTCCTCGCCACGCTCCGAGCCCAAGCGCATCGCCGGTGAATCTTCGGCTGAGTTCCAGCAACATGACGCCTGTAAGCTTGTGCTCCCCAGCTCCCCCCCCGCGTCGGTGCGGTTTGCAAGCCGCCCTCTGCCCCTCTGCAAGCCCGGGCGAGCATCTTGGTGAGAGCCTTTGGCCCCTCCAAAAAATGACGTTGCCCTTTGAGAGTCCCAGCGCAGCGAGTTCTGTTCAAGATAACTTGTCCCACGCTGGTGGTCACTGGACCACGGCAGACCCCCTCCGCCCTGAGTCCCCTCTCGCGCTCCAGTTGCGTTGTGATCTCGGCGTGACTGCCAGGCAGCATTTCCTTTCTCTCGGTCGCGCGCGTGCCGGACTCCCAGAGGCTCTCGCGCCCAAAGGTCTCGAAGTTGGGAGCTTGGGATTGGGTCGTTCGGCGCGCATCGCGCGCGGGGCCAGCGACCCTGGCCCCCGCCGCGAAGATCGATATTTTGACCCAAGGCGACATTTTATGCGAAGTCGACAGCGACGTGCTCGTTGAGTTTGGGACCACCCCACTCATCAAGACAGCGCAGGCAGAGGCCGCGGTGCGCATTCGCCGCCCCTTTTCGTGCTGAGGCCCAGTGCACCTGCAGCCAGGCGCCAGCCCCCCCCCCCCCCCTAACCTCACCTCCTGTGCTTGGCGTGCGCTTGGCGTGCTGGGGGTTCGTTCGCTCCCCCCCGCCTCCCCCCCCATGGGAGCAGCTGCGGTGCCGATGCAGTCGAGTTTGATTGGAGAGGACGCTGGACAGGACACAACGACTCTTCCGAGGGCCACATGGCACCAAAAGTGGGGTCGTGAACCACAGGTAGGCGGCGCGCGCAAGTGGGTAGGTTGAGGGGGGAAGGCTTCTTAAAATGAGACTGCTTCTTAGAAGGCGCTGGCCTTTCATCTATAGATAGGGCCCGCGCCTTCTAAGAAGCAGGGTGCTTCTAAGAAACCGTGGCTCCTTCCCCTACCCTGCGCCCCTCTGCGCGTGGCCGAACAGTGCCCAAGGAAACCGTAGCCATTTTGGCTCAAGCCTGCTCGACTCAAAGTGTTCTGGCGCGACAGAGGTTGTGCGAAGCCATGGGTGAGGGCGACGGCGACGCGCTCGACAACGACGCGATCATGGTCTGCGACGAGTGCTGCTGCTGCTGCTGCTGCTACGACGGCCTGCTCTTGAGAGATGGGTGCACGGGGTGCATGGCGAGCGAGGTCATGTGCTGCCTGGAGGTCTAGTACTGCTGCAAGTCAGGCGCACCGACGCGCTGCTGCGTCTGCTGCGCGACCCGCTGCGTCTCGCCTACCGTGCGCATCAAGTCGCAGGGCCAGATGTGCTGCCTTGCCGGGGCGGCCGCCATCCCGTGAGACGATGGAGTTTCTTGCCTGGTCGGCGCGTGCGGCATGATCTGATACCCAACGATCGCTCGCCATATGCAAGACGCTGGGCGACATCAAGGGTGGGGGTGGCGGGGGAAGACCCGACATTGAGCAGGTGGGCTGAGGCTAGTGAGATGGATCCAAGCAGCCGCCCTGTCTGCTGATGACCCCAGCATGGCCACTGCGGTACAGCCAAGGCCACGAATGGCTCTGGTGCTTTGATGCACAAAGGCCGGCCAGGCTGCAGTCGCGATTCGGATTTTTTTTGTTTTTTTTGTTTTGTTTTGTTGAGGTGCACACCACGCTCGGAGCTGCGCAGCAAGCTTGATTTAGCAGGACCGGCCTACGCATAAAACTCGACCGTCGGACCCCCATGCCGGCGTGTGCCCGCCCAGAGAGTTCGAGGAGCTCTGGCCAGGGGCGCCACGGTGGAGAGTTGGTGGGCGCCTGGCATGCGGCCTACCCCGGGCTCGGGGGGGGGGCCATCGTGGAGCGCGAAGTTCCCAAGATGGCTTCAAGAACCCCCGAGAGCTCCAATACGCCCACGAGAAGCCTCAGGAGGCCCTGAAGAAGGCGCCTCGGAGGTTGCCAAGAGGCTCTCAGGCTTCAGATCTGCAACAAGAGGTCCATCCCGAATTGTCAGCCACATCCAGTCCACAATTGATGGGGCTCGCGTTCCGCAGCCATTTTGGCTCAAGCTGCTCTCAAGGACGCACTGTATGATGTTTGCGTCGGACCATTTTCGAGGCCAGCAGTCGCAGCCCGATCCTAGGCGTCTGACTGCATCTCCCTTCGGTGAGCTCCTGCCGGAGCCTCATTTCCACCTGCGTTACCCATGCGAA